ACTAATAGCAACATTGCTTTCAGTATAGAGATCTCCATACCTGCAATAACACGATGAAAGGTTCAGGACCAAATTCTACAAATTCCTTTTTTCTATTAGCATTTTAGTATAAGAAACCCGAAGATTTAACAAAGCCCTAGTCCACCGTACAAGACAAAACGAAAAATTAAAATTCGATATAAGGTGTTACAACATTAAGAAACTACCTCACTTTCAACCTCTCGATAACTTTTATTGTCACCAGCTGTGATGCCATACAAGCATCCAGATTAACAAACACAACTCGGTTCCCTTTTCTCTCTGAAACAATGAAGGTCCGAGCTCGCAACCTGAAGTGCACACCAGATGCAGTCTGTTCCATGTTAGCATATCCCATCATGTTAACATCAGCTGCTGGCCCTGTGATATCATAGCTTCCAACCCCAATTAAGTAGTTGGAGGCCGATTTTTCCCCTCCGCAGTTCTCCACCAAAAGCAACAGAAAAATCGGTAACCAAATCATCGTACTTAACTCTGTCCTCATTTCTCTATGCCGCAAGCATAATAACTTCTTCGCACTTCCCTTCAACACGGATGCAAAATTAGCCAAAATTTCTATGAATATGAACATATATATCAAGCACCCAATGCTCACAGCTGATTAACCAATAACATTTAATCTCTTTAATCAATATGTAGATCAACAATAAAAAAACAGAATATCAAAAATCATAACAATGATGAAAATAATAATCAAACAGCTGTTGAGATTCATACAAATTTCACTGGAAAATATGATCATTTTCCACAAATTTAGGCTAACAAACACCAGATTATAAGTCAAAAATTACCCAATACCACGGATAAGATGCGAAAACAAACAATTTATAATGCAAAAAGGTACCAAAAAATCCCCAAAAAAAAAAAAAAAAAAATGTTCAGGCATAGAGTTAACTAAAAAAACAAAAATCTGAAACTTACAGCAAAGAAAGAAAATCTGATGAAGCTTCACAGGGTCACAGTGCGATATTTGGTCTTTGTAGTGAGGGAAAAGCAGTGTGGAGCGCGGAGGTTGGACGTGGAAGCCAAGTCTGTTCTTTTTTCCTTTAAGTTAAATTTTATCTTAATTGATTTTATTTATTTTTTATTATTATTATTTTTTATTTTTTATTTTTTTTGGCCGAACAAATTAATTTCATCAAAATAAAATTGAATATAAATTTCTATTTAATTTTATCTATTCTTTTCTTAATCTTGCCAATACAATTAAATAAATAAAAAGCAATTCTTAAAACACATTTTTAAATAAAATGTAATGTTCAAATGACTATTATTTATCACAGTTACTTAAGTTATTGGATTTTATTTAACATTCACTACAATTTTAACAATATTTTGTTATTCCACAAAAATATTGTTTTCTACTCTTTTAACTCATTTATCCATTTATTTAAATGTAAATATGGTTTGTTCATACCTGATAGATACACAAATCAATAATCTCTAAACTATATATATGTTCACGAATTACATCGTGTAGCATCCTTCTCAATTTTTTACATTTTATGACAGCAAGATGAGTTTGTGAGGAAAAATTAGAAGATGAAAGAAGGTAGCTAATCATACTAGTATTATTGCCCGTGCAAATGCACGGGACATATTAAAAGAAGTTGACGTAAGCCCAAGAATGGACGCTGGCGATCTCTCTCTCGCTGCTCTGAATCCTATCTCGGCGACTTTCGACCCCGGGGTCGACCCGTCGGAGAACACCATTGACCCGGAATTTCCACCTCTGACGGCAGCCACCATACCCGCATCAAAACGTCCGAGAACCCGAAAGAGGGAAGGTGATGCTCTCGTCGCTCATAGTCCCCCGAAACCGGCACAACCATCTACCCCTCCGGTGGAGACCAACGTTGACACGAGAAAGGCCCCTATGCGCTGGACCTTTCGTGACATGGTGAACAAACATAGAGCCCATGTGGAAATGGATCAAGAGACTGAAGAAGCGACTGAGGAAGGGGAAGAGGAAATTTCTGTCGACTTTTCCTCTAAGGTACCAGATGTGAAAATTACTCAACGATTCTTTGACCGAATTAGCAAGGAATGGCAAAATGCTGTGGTAATCAAACCCTTTGACGAATCTATCTCCATGGCGTCGCTGTACAACCGATTAACTAAATTGTGGCCGTTCATGGCTGGATGTAATATGATGGATCTGGAAAATGGATTCTACCTCATTCAATTTGGAATCCGAGAGGACGCGGTG